GATGATCACGATGTGGTTGGTGACGATGATGATGATGCAATGAATGTGGATGATGACGATGCAGTCAACGTGGTTAGTGACGATGATGATGATGTAATGAATGTGGATGATGACGATGATATAGTCAAAGTGGTTGATGATGATGATGATGCAATGAATGTGGATGATGATGATGATAGTAAAAGTGGTTGATGATGATGATGCAATGAATGTGGATGATGACGATACAGTCAACGTGGTTGGTGACGATGATGATGATGTAATGAATGTGGATGATGACGATGATATAGTCAAAGTGGTTGATGATGATGATGATGCAATGAATGTGGATGATGATGATGATATAGTAAAAGTGGTTGATGATGATGATGCAATGAATGTGGATGATGACGATGATATCGTCACAGTGGTTGATGATGTCGATGATGATGCAATGAATGTGGATGATGACGATGATATAGTCAAAGTGGTTGATGATGATGATGATGCAATGATTGTGTGATGACGATGATGATATAATCAACATGGTTGACTATGATGCTTACACCGGCTGATGATGATGATGATGCTGTGGTGGTGGTTAGGCTAGCAGTGCCACTGCTGATGATCCGGTGAAGGTGAATGTTGGTGATGACGATATCACCATATACATTTCATGTTGATGATGTTGATGATGTTGTTGATGTTGATGATGATGTTGATGATGTTGTTGATGATGTTGATGATGATGTTGATGACGATGATGATGATGAGACGACAATGACGGCTGCTGCTGCTGATGATGATCCAAAGAGCGAAACCCGGATGACAATGATGGTTTACATTCTGATGACTAAGATCATTTTTTGTCTCAATCGACTAAATAATCACTTAAAATTATTACTTACAGACTACACCATCCGCATTCGCCAGCGAGGTCACGAGTGGTGAAACAACCCCCACCACCCCCCCCCCTCGACCCCGCGCCTCTCATCCAGCAGTGGAGCGACAAAACGGCTCTGCTGGTGCCGCTGCTTGTAGCCGCGCAGTTTGTAAATTGGAATGCGCATCGACATACGCGCGGGTGTTATATTCCACGGCGCGTATGAGACGTAGCATTTGACCTTGGGTGACCCCAATCAGAGGCATCTACGGGACCTTTTTGGCCAGTATCAGAATGATGAAAGAACTATAAGATTAGGCGTTGACCCGCCTGGCAAGACAAACAGGAGATGTTGAAGATATTCAAGCAGCGAATAGAAACACCCCGATTGCGAGGCATCAGCTCTGCATTGCTTGTGACAACAACAACAACAAAAACCATGCAAATAAACGCGCTCTCTGGTTCACGGAGTCTCGACCCCTTGCAATAGGCATCTGCTTGGCGTTCGAACATCTTAACACGTCTTCCGTATTTCCTATTACATTTTTCAACCCAATCAGAGGCGTCCTATTCTTAGGGTTTTTTCAGTAAAGTCACGTAGGTAAAAAATTAAAATTAATAAAAATAAAATAAAAATCACGACGTTTCGGAGGCAACACAAGCCTCCGTCTTCAGGTGGAACCGTCACAGCACGATAGCTGTATATCAAGTGAGAGAAATTCCTCTGCTCGGTTCATCCGTCATTGTTTCCCATTGTTGCACACTGCGATCGTACGCACAAAGACAAAGAGGGCCCCCCTTGGAGCCTACACGGGCTCTTTTGGCAAAGTGCTCTTGCTGAAGCACGTGTGAAGGTCGTCACGCGCAAGAAGCTGGAAGCGGCCGGATACATGGCCGGCCGCCTTTGTCTCCCCAGTGCTGATGTTTACACAGCGCACTAGGTACTCATTTTAAGGCTGAGTGGAACTGCGGGGGTAGGGGAAGGCACAGGAACGGTTTAAATATCCCTCTTTGATGTTAGCCGTGAGCGGGAATCGCACAAAGTCAGGTCACCCGGGTTCATAGCGCGGTGCGCTAACCACTACGCCACCGCTCCCCACAGACAAAGACACCACACACATTCTCAACAACAACAACAACGAGTGCTATTTCGAGATGACAGTCCTGATAACACGAAGCTCCAGCCAGGCCACAGCCACTTCCATTGGGCCTTAATTTAGAGAGAGCCGATTCCAATTAAGATTGCGATCTAAGTGTGTGTGTGTGTGTCTGTGTGCACGTGTCCCGCGTGTGTGTCTCTGTGTGCGCACACGTGTTCCGCGTGACGCAGACAACGCTAATTGCATGTACGTACGGTGCAAACTTCCTTCGCACCGTACGCAGCCAACCGCGCCAATTGCTCAGCGCGTCGCGTATTTGACGATCGCGTGCAGCATGGGGCGACTGCGACATTGATTCGATTCGAAGCTTTCGTGACCGCGGGAATAACTCTTTGGTGCTTTCGGTAAAGTCACGTAGAAAGAAATTAAATTAAATAATAATAGAATACGACGTTTCGCTTGCAGCACAAGCAACCATCAGCAGGTACAAATGAATGAGAAAACAAACATAGTAAACTTGGAAATAGAATTTCGATTTAAAGCTTTCGTAACTGCAGGGATTCATCTTCTTGGTTCTTTCAGTAAAGTCTACGTGACTTTACCGAAAGAACCAAAAAGTTGGAAATAGAATGTAATACAACACAGAGAGTTGGCCAACATCACAGTCAACACTCCACCTGGTTGATTACGTTCTTCCAAAGATTGCTACATTTGAGAGAGATACAAACACAGACACGGAAACACACAGAGCAGAGAGAGAGAGAGACACACACACAGAGACAAACAGAGAGAGACACAAGACAGGGAGACACACACAAGCAGAGAGAGAGAGAGAGACTCACACAGAGACAAACAGAAAGAGACAAAACACAGACAGGGAGACACACACAAGCAGAGAGAGAGAGAAGACTCACACAGAGACAAACAGAAAGAGACACGCACATAGGCACACAGGATTGTGAAGGGCAGTTAATCGCATGCCAAAGGCGGAGAGCGGTAGCAGGGGTGGTGGAATCCCGACTCAGTCTCTACAGATGTAGTGACATAGAACGCTCACTACTGTGTCGGCCCGTACGAGGGCTGGGCCCCCAAGGTGGTGCCTGGGGGGTCACGTGGTGGAGGGATTCGGACCTTCCCAGAGGTGGGGGAAGGGAGGCGTGGCCTGGGAAGGGAAGCGTGGCCTGGACAGAACCAGCCACGCCAAAGCAGATATAAGCGTGGTGTGAACGCAGAGCGAGGCTGTTGTACTGTACTCCGAAGTGAAGACATCATCGGTCGTCAAGTCCCGAGTCGTCGTCCTGGGCCAGGCAGGCCGTTGCCTGCCTGGTCCAGTCTGTGTCGCGTTCCAGAGTGTTAGTGAGTTGAGGAAGGTGGTCACCACCTCATGTACAGCGTTATGTTACTTACCGTTTAATAAATAGTGTTGCCTCCAAGCTGCGTGTGTGTGCACCTAATTCGAACCCACTACACAGATACCCCGGACGCACAAACGGAACATTTTACATTCTCCAGCAGAGCGCGGCTGCGGTGTCATCCAGAACGGACCCTGCAGCCAATACTCTTAGTGTTTTTTTCGGTAAAGTCACGTAGGTAAAAAATCTAATTAATAAAAATAAAATAATAAAAATCACGACGTTTCGGAGGCAACACAAGTCTCCGTCATCAGGTGGTTACCGTCACAGCCAGATTTTCTGCATCAAGTGAGGCAGGGATCCCAAGATGCAAGTTCTTAAATACAAGTTATTTGTATTTGCAGCCAATCGCCACGTTGCGGTCATCTGGGATGAGGCAGCACCTGAATGTGAAACCGTAATTCGCCGCTGGGCCATCCACATCGGCATTGGTGTACGACGACTACGACAAGAAGAAGACGAACAGCCCAGAGAGAAACGCGTGGGACACGTGACAAACACGACACCACCACCAACAACCACCACCAACAACAACGACAACAACAACAACGACAACAACAACGACAACAACAACGATGGCTATCGGAGAGTTCCCGTCCATGCCAAGGCTCTCCCCACGGTTCTACCGAGGGAGCGGTGGCGCCGCGGTTGGCGCACTGCGCTAACGAACCCGGCGACCCGAGTTCCATCGATGGCTCACGGCCACCGAACATCGGTGGCAGCGATCATCGCCCTCCTCCTCCTCCCTCCCTCCCCCCCTAGGTCAACTCAGCCTCAAATGAGCACCTGTCACGGTGTGTAGGTGTAGTGACATAAGAAGGGAGGGGCTGCTGGGGGCTCTGGGATCCCAGGCGAGTCCAGACGCTTAAGCCTCTGGGCGCCAGGCGCTGGGTTCCCAGGGGGTCCAGACGCTTAAGCCTCTGGGCGTCAGGCGTTGAGTTCCCAGGCGCTTAATCCCCTGGGCGCCGCCAATGGGGGGGGGGGGGGGCTGTGTGTGATCTGTGGGATGTCTGGTGGCGCACACGGCCCCACCCCTCGTTAGACCAGGCATAAAAGGAGAGCTCCCTGGACGATCGGCCCCAGTTGTAACTCAAGACCCAAGACCCACGACCAGCCATCTGAAGACCTTGGGATGCTGCGAGAGCGAGTGCTGGGACTCTGGAACTCCCGACGCTACGACCTTGTGCGGGCGAGTCCAGAGCGTAGCCAGAGTAGAGTATCTAGGCTGTGTAGCTAGGCTGTGTACCTAGGCTGTAACAGAGTATCAGGACTGTTGGAGTGTTGTATTGTAATAAAGAAGTTACCTATTCAAGTGTCTCCGGAACCCGTTACATAGGCAACAAGGGCTGACGAGCGTGATGCTGACCACTCACACCTCCCCCCCCCCCAGCACTTGCCCCAACAGTCTGTTGAGGCTATACGGGGGGAGGAAGGGATGGGGGGATTCTTTGTCTTTGTGTGCCTTGCTCCATGAGAGAGATCAAGTCTCCATCCCTTAGTACAGCGGTCGGGAACCTATGGCTCGCGAGCCATATATGGCTCTTCCGGTGACGGCATATGGCTCCTAGATAATTTCCAGTTGAAAAAAATAAAATGAATAAATCAGTTTGGAACTGATTTTAAAATACTTGTGATATTGCTTAATAATACTGTGTCATTTTAAAGTAAACAGAAATTAGTTTTGAAGATACATTTCACGGGTCACGGGGCCTCAACGCCTGCATGAAGCTCAACCTCACCACGTACGAACCAGACTACAAGGCCATCAGCAAAACCATGCAGCACCAGAAGTCGCATTAAAAGTAAGACACATTTAATTTATTATACGTTACAAAAATACTATATGGCTCTGAATGCAATATATTTAGAAATATTTGGCTTTTATGGCTCTCCCAGTCAAAAAGTTCCCGACCCCTGCCTTAGTAGTAGGTTTTTACCCTTTAAACTGGTACAAAACTGACACCTTTATACAAGGCATCATGTTTGCAATAACCACAACACAAGCAGTCAAAATGCAAACAAAAATAAATAATGGTAATGATATGCACTGTCCTTGAAGTTGATTGGTCCACACCCGAGACAGCTTTTCTTAGAGCCTAGTCTCCATTGGTGTTGGACCAGATGACGCCAAAAGGCGTAAAACTCAAAAACAGTGCACTATCAGAGTATTGAGAGCTCGGGGAAAGCATTTACACTGTTTTTGAATTGTACGCCTTTTGGCGTCATCTGGTCCAACACTAATGGAGACTAGGCCCTAAGGAAAGCTGTCTCGGGTGTGGACCAATCAACTTCAAGGACAGTGCATATCATTACCATTATTTATTTTTGTTAGCATTTTGACTGCTTGTGTTGTGGTCATTGCAAACATGATGCCTTGTATAAAGGTGTCAGTTTTGTACCAGTCTAAAGGGTAAAAACCTACTACTATATTTTGCCACTGGTAAAGGAGGTCTCCATCCCTTGTCACGGGAAAACACGATCTCATCGATTCAGGAGGCTTCTTTGTTATTCAGCTCCGTGAGTGACGCGCAGAGCGACGGTTCGGTTACGTACCCGTGCGAAAGAAGTTCCACGTACATACAAAGACAAAGATCCCCCGTCTAGCCTTAACAGACCGTCGTGGCAAGTGCTGTTAGCGAGCACCTATAAAGGCCGGCACGGCACACGAGGGGGTGGGTGGCCAACATCACGCCCGGCCGCCTTTGTCTCCCTAC